GAGAAGAGGCGACAACAAGGCAAGCCAACTTAAAAGGCCTGGAAAGCATAGAGGAAAACCAACCAGGAAAACCAAAAAAACGAACCAACAACACAAAAATCACATTGGGGCCTAGAGCCAGTTTTTGTCGCAACCAGGGTTTACAAAGACAAAGAACCAAGGGTAACCCATTTAAACAAGATGGAAAGCACCTAAGACACAGAGAGCACAGAAGAGACGAAAACAAAGCAAATCAGCTTAAGATGATAATTTTTTGACACCAAGGCCCACAAGGAGCACAGAATGGACACAACCAAGGCAAACCCTTCTGAAAAGAATGGAAAGCACTTGGGAAAATTGACACGGCAACCTCAAAAGCATGAAACCACGCTTTTGGGCAAACAACGCACTGGATCAAGGCTAACCTGCTTGAGAAGAGGCGAAAACAAGGCAAGCCAACTTAAAAGGCATCAGGCAAGCCAACTTAAAAGGCATGGAAAGCGCATAGGAACAACAACCAGGAAACCCCAAAAAACGAATCCAACAACACGAAAATCACATTGGGGCCTAGAGCAGCCAGTTTTTGTCGCAACAAGGCTCACAAAGACAAAGAAGGGTAACCCATTCAAAAAGGATGGAAAGCACCTAAGGCACAAAGAGCACAGAAGAGACGGAAACAAAGCAAATCAGCTTATGATGAGAATTTTTTGGCACCAAGGCCCACCAAGAAGAGACAAAGAGCACAGAATGGACACAACTAAGGCAAACCCTTTTGAAAAGAATGGAAAGCACCTGGGAAAATTGACACGGCAACCCCAAAATTGTGAAACCACGCTTTTGGGCAGACAACGCACTGGATCAAGGCTAACCTATATACTTGAGAAGAGGCGAAAACAAGGCAAGCCAACTTAAAAGGTATGGAAAGCACATAGGAAAACCAACCAGGAAACCCAAAAATACGAAGCCAACAACACGAAAATCACATTGGGGCCTAGAGCAATTTTTTTGCAACAAGGCTCACAAAGACAAAGAACCAAGGGTAACCCATTTAAACAAGATGGAAAGCACCTAAGACACAAAGAGCACAGAAGAGACGGAAACAAAGCAAATCAGCTTAAGATGATAATTGTTTGACACCAAGGCCCACAAGAAGACACAAAGAGCACAGAATGGACACAACCAAGGCAAACCCTTCTGAAAAGAATGGAAAGCACTTGGGAAAATTGACACGGCAACCCCAAAATTATGAAACCACGCTTTTGGGCAAACAACGCACTGGATCAAGGCTAATCTGCTTGAGAGGAGGCGAAAACAAGGCAAGCCAACTTAAAAGACATGGAATGCACATAGGAAAACCAACCAGGAAAACCAAAAATATGAATCCAACAACACGAAAATCACATTGGGGCCTAGAGCCAGTTTTTGTCGCAACAAGGCTCACAAAGACACAGAACCAAGGGTAACCCAGTTTAAACCAGATGGAAAGCACCTAAGGCACAAAGAGCACAGAAGAGACGGAAACAAAGCAAATCAGCTTAAGATGATAATTTTTTGACACCAAGGCCCAAGGCCCACAAGAAGACACAAAGAGCACAGAATGGACACAACCAAGGCAAACCCTTTTGAAAAGAATGGAAAGCAACTGGGAAAATTGACACGGCAACCCCAAAATTGTGAAACTACGCTTTTGGGCAAACAACGCAGCTTACCGTTGCTTGCCGGACTGGTTTGCAGACCGTGTTTTTTTTGCATGTTGGAAGGTGCACAAAACCCTGTATTTTACAATAAGAAGTTGCTTTGGGTGAGTTTGTGTTGAGCTTATTTGCCTCCAAAAAGTTGCATTTTACCTGCACAGGAGGCAATTTTTGAGTTTTCTCTCGTTTACCGGCATTCAAAGGCTTTGAAGGGCAATGTGCATAAAACACCCGTAAAAACAATGAACAATGAGGTCCGACAAGTGTAACGAAGGTGTTTTTGAGGGCTTCTTTTTGTGTTTTGCTTGCGTATAAAAGCTTGCTCCGGATGAGCACACCCATGATGTCAATAATGCAGTCTTCCCCATGCTTCATAACTAGCACCGCGAACGTTTGGACACGAGTAAGGAAAGTGTTTTTGAGCGCTTTTGTTTGCTTGTGAAAGCTTGCTCCAGTGGTCCAGTGGGTGATCAAATTTAGAGCATGTTTGTGCCAATCTTCGGCGATCTTGGTGCATTCTTGGAACATATTCTTTTCCATATTGGCACATTTCACCCATTGTTGGGGCTCTCTTGAGGCTTCTCGTGGAGGGATGTTGGAAGTGATTAGGGCCGTGGGGTCTAGAGTCTAGATCCGGGCTATGTTGAAGGCTTTGCTGCTGTTATGTTATATTTTTTGCGGCCATGTTGATCCACTTGGCTGTTTCTTCTCTGCCGCTTGACTTGGGCAGTCTTTTGCGTAGTGTGCGTAAAACACAGTAAAAACAATGAAACAATGAGGTCCGACAAGTGTAAGAAAGGTGGTGTTGACAGGTTTTTGTCGTTTTTGTTGTTTGCGCCTCCAATGGGCGGTCAAATTTGGGGCATCTTAGTGCCAATCTTCGGCGATCTTGGTGCATTCTTAGGGCATATCCTTCTCCATGTTGGCACGTTTCGCTCAATGTTGGGGCTCTCTTGAGGCTTGTCGTGGGGGTATGTCGGAGGTGATTGGGGCCGTGGGATCTATGCTGAAGGCTTTGCTGCTGTTAATTTATTTTTTTGCGGTAAAAACCATGACAGACTTAGGTCCGACAAGTATAAGGCTACTTGTTTTGAGGCCATGGTGGTCTTTTGCGGCCAGTCTGCGGCTCCGACAAGTGTAAGAAAGGTGGCTTTGAGAGTTCTTTTCTTGTCGTTTTTGTTGCTTATGAAAGCTTGCTCCAGTGGGTGGTCAAATTTGGGGCACGTTTGCCCCAATCTTCGGCGGTCTTGGTGCATTCTTGGGACATATTCTTTTCCATATTGGCACATTTCACCCAATGTTGGGGCACTCTTGAGGCTTGTCGTGGGGGTATGTTGGAGGTGATTGGGGCTGTGGGATCTATGCTGAAGGCTTTGCTGCTGTTACTTTATTTTTTTGCGGTAAAAACCATGACAGACTTAGGTCCGACAAGTATAAGGCTACTTTTTTGAGGCCATGGTTGTATTTTGCTGCCAGTCTGCGGCTATCCTGGCGCATCTCCCATATCATATTGGCATTGTTCACCCATTGTTCACAAAAAATGTTATGGGCTCTGTTGGGGATGTGGGGTTGCTGCTCCGCTTTCCGTGTTTTTCCGAACTGGTTTGCAGAGTGAAAGTTTCTTATTCGGAGGGACATGTTTGTTGGACGGGTAATTGACAGCGCTACCGCTACTGGCCACCGGCCATTGTGGAAAATCGTTCTGTGAATCCTCTCTTGACGCTGATGAGAATAACATACAGTAGGGATCACCTACACCTCAAGCTTTGGAAAAAAGACCGCTGAGAACATATCAGTGAGTTCAGCATAAACAACCCACACTATAGTACATCTGAGGAAATGTTTTCAGCATTCCTTGAGGTTGCTGATGGTGCTCGTATAGCAAGAGAGCATGACATGATAATTGTCCTCCAGCAGAACTTCGGCATTGGCACAAGTAAGAAAGCCTTACTCCCCGCTCAAAAGCAAATGACGCAGTTAGCCTGCTCAATCGGACCTGTTCTGTTGTGACAAAGCCAAATGCTTTCCTCAGCGATTATCTCACTACATCTTCAACACACTGAATAGCGCACCGAGCGGCATTTAGCCAGGCGTGCTGCTTCAACATGGCTCACATCCCGCATGGAAGCCACTGCATTTGCCCAAGCACCTTAGGAACGAGAACTGAACTTGGCCCCCCCGATGCTCAACTACCCATCACGCATAATTATTGGAGGCCGCCCCTCCGCAAACCAACCTCTCTCGAGATTCAATTCGTAGTTTCAATATGTTACAATCACAATCGTTTGGAATCATTTATATGTTCTAAATTAAGTTTTTCTTGGGGCAAAGCAGGATCACAAGTCAAGAGTGCTTGGTCATGAAGCGTTCTTCTAAAATTTACTTCTCCAGGTTTTAGTTTTTTGCTTTAGAGAAACCATTGCTTTGGAAGGATGGAAAAAAGGCTCTCGGGTGAAGGACCTGCAACCAATGCACACTTGGCGCCACTCATCCGAATACGAACTCCATTTTGTCAGTGGGTGGAGTGGCACTTATTTATCTTACTTTAAGATTTTCCCAAGAAAAGCGTGTTCTTCTACAAAACCTCGCTGCAGGTTTGAAGACTGAACGCCTTTGCTTTCCTGGCCAAGGCACCGCAGTATTCGAGGACAGGCCCCGGACAAGGAACCGCACTCGGGAGTTGGCCTGTGTCCTCCACGGCCTGGGAGTTCCCAAACAAAGTCAAACAAGTGGCAACAGTCAGTGACAACGAACGTCTCGAAAGTTGTGAAGTTCCTCTCTTTTGCAATATTTTTTCAGTGCTTGGAATCGGGAGCTTTGTTTGGTCCATTCTTTCGCACTCCACCATGAGCCGTAATGAGCCCAGTCGCTGTTCCACTGGTTCCTTGTCTCCTGACCCACGCCTGAGTGAGCCCAGAAACAGCAAGGACTGAGCAAGGCGGTGCCAAGGACGAAGAATGTCTTTGCACATTACTTCCACTTCCTGAAGCGGTGCCTGTCTCAGAATGGACTGCAAGGAGCCCGGTGGTCCCACAGTGGCACCGAGGCAAGCACTTCCGACCTCATTGAGAAATGAGTGTGGAACTTGCTTGATATAATATATGGCGGGCCCCCAAAACATCACACAACAAAACAAGGCCTTGCCATGCCTTGCCCCATCTTAGTGCAATGCCCGGGTACATTCTACAGTGATTCTACAGTGTGTTTCCTCCCCCTACTTGCATGCTTGTATTTCTTGGCAATAAGGCCATCAGGAACCAAATCTTCTATTCAATGAAGGTTGCAGAATAGAATAGAGGAGAAGAGTGCTATGAAAGAAAAGGAACGTAAGGCACGTTTCAAGTGGGCCCTACCATCCTTCTTCAATCTCCTCTTTTCTGAGCAGGGGGGGCCTTATTCAAGGGACCCCAGCACATCCCTTTTTCATTTCCCCAAACAGTGGTGGCCTGACTATGGTCAGGCACCATGCCGGGGAAATCGCTTGCTGTTGGGGTTTCATTTACGGCATCCTGTCACAGCATGATTTCCCCTTTGTCTCCCCACTTGTCTCCTGCACCCCTTCTTGTCAAAACATAGGTTTCCCATGTTTTCCCTTTCTCTCCCCACTTGTCACAGCATGATTTCCTCTTCCTCTCTCCAACCTGTCACGACGTGCTTATTACTCACTGACATGACTTCCTTGACTCGCCACTGGCAACCTGTCGACACCACTTCTCGTTTGTCTCCCCTCTCCCTTCTTGTCTCTCCACTGGCAACCTGTGGGTCGGGTTCCCTGAATTCTTCTCAGTGAAGCCATGATCGCCGGATGATCGTGATAGCATGCGCTTGGTGAACCTTCGCTTGTCTGCGTCGCACACAAGGCAACGACATGTTTGTGAAAACGCATGCTTGCAATATGCCCGAAATGCACACATGATGTTCTGAAAGCTTTTGGAAGGGCTAAACTTGGACTTTGGAAATGTGACAACATGTTTCTGAAAGCACGCGCCTGTATCAGTCGCAATGCACAAAGGCATGTCTGAACATAAACACAAGTATGTGTTTGAACAAACAGAATTTGACTATTATGATTATTATGGAAGTTCAACATCATGTTTCTGAGAGGGGCAAATGCATGGCTTGAACAACGCAAACTAATTTCTGCGACACACAACGACATGCTTTTCAAAGGACAGGTTCATGCCTGTGGAAAGGCCAGCGTGCTTCAGAAAACACGGGCTTGTATGCTTAAAATACTCTGGTGCATTTCTGACAGCGCGCGGCGGGAAGCTTTGGAAAGCAGGGTTGTGTTTGTCGAAATCTCCACGTCGGGCTTGTATGTTTGTCAGAACGCACGCTTGTACTCTCGAGCTGCAGTTATACGCGGATGGCATTCTTCTGACCAGCCAAACTTGTGACTTTGGATGATCGAACTCCGCGCATGTGTTGTGGAACATGTACAGCATATCGCATATGTTTTCGAGAATGTGTAATTACACGAATTGCGGTATGAACGCTCATGTTTTTGAAAGCCCACGCGTGCATTTGTCGAAGTACACTGTATAATGTACATCCGAAAATATCAACCCGTTGCTTTTGAAAAGGTAGAGGTAGAGTGGTGTTTTGTGTTTATGTATGTCATGGCTGTTGAAAGCACAGCAATTGAGCAAATGCTTGTTGGGGTCCATGCTAATATCTTTTTGTTTGTCAGAGTCCCCAACTGAGGATCACACCAAAGTACATGCTGTGAGAAAGCTTCTTCTCAGTGGTCTATCTTCCTGACTGCGACACAAGAAGCTGCCCCAAGCTGCCAAGGGCCGGTCAACTGACCAATCAACTCCAACATCTCCTGCCTCTTTCAAGTACATGCGCATGAGCAGGCTACAGTATATCGTTTGAGCAAAGTTGCCTATGACCTGGCAAGCTTTCAAAACAGGTGCTTGTTATTCTCATAGGACCAAGCTGTGAACCGTAAGCAAATCTCAGCTTTTGATGTTCGTTGAAAACACGGCACGTATTACCCCACCTCTGAGCCCCAAAGGTAGACGAACATGATGACCGGAGAAGCCAAGGCTATGTGGGTGCTGTTCTCCTCACAAGCTGGGAATGTAAGGTTGGAGTTGAAAAACATATCAGAACATCGAAAAATGGAACCCCACGCATCGGTGTAGAAAATGGATGCACATTGTCCAAACCTGCCTACAACTCTCTGGTTGCATGCCTATCTCACGACCTGTCATTTTCCAGAAGCCCGGCTACTAAGAGGAAACAATGAAACACATGCTTCTGTTGCACTCCTTGCTCGTCTCATTGCAACCTGCCTTGTCTGGTTTGTTTGCTGAATGCGCTTGAGCCCAGCCTGAAAGCGCAAATATGAGGCACCCAAGGCCAAGCAGCAGGAAGTAAGCCAAGCAAAGCCAAATAGTAGTTGCATGCCTTAAATCAAGCTGCTCACAATGAAGGTTGTTCGCAATGAATCTAGGTCCCAAATAAACAGTGAGAGCGCTTCTTCAAGGAAGCTCCCCCCGCCCTCAGGCAGGGAGGGTGTCCTTGAAGAAGCGTGAGCTATCCTGAAGAAAATAACGCTGGCAAACACATAACTTGATGCTCAATGCTCAGCTCGACCTTTTTGGACTTTAGGCCACTTGCTTTGGTTCTCAAATCTTCATTGAACAATTCCAAGTTCACCCTGAAACAGCTCTCCTCGCTACGTGACTGTCGATTTTTGTGTCTGTTTTTCGGTGGAATCAGCTACCACGCCCTGATATTCCTTGACCTGGCTCGCCTTGCTCGCGCAAAAGCATCAGGAACAAGCTCTGAGCAAGACCATTGAATTACAATATTAATATTGTCTTTGACACCTTTTGAAACACCCTTGCATCAATGTCCAACATGCAGGTTGAGACAATTCGCAGAAATGAGCGTACTGTTGGGTCTATTTACTCTTCTTTTTGCTTTTTGGTTCGTTCGATTGTGTGGCTGTGGCGCTATAAATTTTGACCACGTTACCATGTTACCATGTGAAGGGTTGAGGCATCTACCTATCTCACTTGTCCTCTGAACGGCCGTCTCCATTTTTTCAGCCCCTCTGGTCAATGATTCGGGAGATTCATCCGGTCCAAGTTGCTAAGGACAAGTGCAAATCTTGGAAAGGTCAAAATCTTGAGAACTTCGCAAACCATCTTGGCGGTAAATTCGACATAACCTTGAAAACCTCAGCTTGCTTGCAAAAAGGGCTGTCCTGCAGTGCCGGAAAACGACACAAAGGCAAGCAAAATATGTAAGGAAAAGAAGAATGTTGGGTTGAAATGTGAGGGAGTCGTATGATATCATAGAATTTTCACAGATGGATTTTGATGCTCAATGATTGATGCCCAAGACACCAAAAAAAAAGTAGCATCAACAAAATGATCCCGATGCCCAGAAGAATGCCTCCTCCAATCCCGGCGTGGAATGCAGCCATGGTTGATCCTGACAAAATCAAGCAGACCGGGCTGCCGAGCAGGAACACCCACACCTCAGTTCCGATACAAGCAAGGATAAGCAAGGTGAACAAAAGGTAGCCGCAGGCCGAAGGACAAAAAGCGGTCCATCGAATGGCTAGCGCTACTGTGTGCTTCTCTCTGCACAAGCAACAGCCAAAGGCTTGCTTACTCTTTCAGTGTTCTGTATGCCTCAGGTTGGCGCCATAGTGTGAGGAAAGCACATCGGCAAAAAGACATATGATGCGGCCACCAGCAGTGCGGCGATGCAACCCGCAAGGCTGCTTACGGCCATGTCTTGCCACGGAGGCCTGTGTTGTGACACACGGGGGCTGGCGACCTTCTTCACAGTCCCCTCTTGTGATGTGCTACGTTCCCTTTTGAAATGCATCAAAAGCATGAGCAACCTGCTCCACTCTTGAAAGAAAACTGTTGATACACTAGGCCAGGCGTCTGTGTGAGGTCCAGCTCGTCTGTGTGGAAAATGATAGCTTGCTGGATCATGACAGTGCAATAGGATGCCTTGATTTACTCTGTGGGTGCCAAAGCTTTAGAACGCGCGCTCCAAACAAAACACTGCCGAATGCGAATCTAAAGGGAGTTGTGACGCAACAACTCTTTCCTCACACCTGAAGCCTGACGGCTTGGAAGGTCTGCTGTTCCACCAATCACCCTGCTTGCATCAAATGGCTATGCAAACCAGCATCATGACAAAAACAACAAGCCACTTCACGTCCTCACGGCAGGCGGTCGAGTCAGGTGCAGCACAAGCTCTCAAGTTCAGCACTTACCAACAGTCTCGAGTCTCAACCTTGGAAAAAATATGAAAAAATTGGAAACGAAACGACACTGTAAGCTCGTAGACGTCATGTGGCTTTCGCATGCCCAAAGAACTGTTAGTGACTGCACAGTGTGGCGTTGTGGTTTGTCAACGATGTTTTCTCTCCCACATCAACCTTTGAAGTTTGACTATGTCTGTGATTGAGCTAGGTTGGAGGCCATAGGCCGGATGCCATTGCTATTTGGAATGCTTTCTTGTCTTAAACTTTAAGTTTGAACAAGCTCCCATATCCTGACACCTCCGCCGAGAGGGGAAGATTTGCTTTTCGGCTGCCAGCTCGCCAGTTTGCATCAAAAAGGCTAGCTCCTTGTCCTTGTCAGGTTTAGTAAGCAACCACGAAGGCCCACAAAGAAAACGGTTTGATCGATCTGACCTGATCTAAACTGCAATGCCTTCTGAAGGTTGGACTGGAATTTCAAGGCTGAGCCAGAAACACATGTGAGCAAAACCATGGGCACAAACCCATACACATGGCAACGGCTCTTTCATAGGCCCCGGCGTAAACACGTACTGAGTCGCGAGTTGAACTACCACACTTCTTTTAATTTATTCTCATAGGTCATATGTCATAGGTCCAGGTGTCTTTCAATAACCTTTCCCGAAACTTGCACCAAACACGACCTTGACAGGGCCAGCCTGGCAAAAAGCACCCGCTCAGCCCCGATGGTTGGTAGCACTTGGGAAAAAACAGCGCGCAAAAGCACGTAAGCTTGTCCAAGCTTTGGAGCACGCGCCATACATGGCCGTTTCACTCTCTTCATGTTTTCACTGACTTCCCCGCCTGTCAGGTGGGCCTTTATACATTTGTTCACAGATAGTATAGTCTTCTCTTCCTTCTGCCCAGCCTCCGCCCTGGACCTAAACTGCTAGTGCCCCATCGCAGTGGGAAGTACCGGACCTCAACAGCAAGCGCCAAGCCGCGGTGGGCAGCACTGGGCCCCAACCGCAAGCGCCAGATCGCAGTGCGCAGTCCCAGACGTCAACACACAACACAAAACCAACAACACACAACCAACAAGACACAGCCAACAAATACACAACCACAAACACACAATCGGAAACACACAGCCACAAGCACAGCCACAAACACACAATCACAAACACACGGCCACAAACGTACAACCAACAAGACACAACCACAAACACACAACCACAGACACACAATCACAAACACACAGCCACAAGCACAACCACAAACATACAACCACAAGCACAATCACAAACACACATTCACAAACACACAACACACAATCACAAACACACGGCCACACACATACAACACAGCCACAAGCACAACCACAAACATACAATCACAAACACACCAGCCACAAGCACAACCACAAACACACAATCACAAACCCAACAACAAACACACAATCACAAACACAACCACAAACACACAACCAACAACACACAACCAACAAGACACAACCACAAATACACAACCACAAACACACAATCACAAACACACAATAACAAACACAACAACAAACACACAATCACAAACACACGGCCACAAACATACAACCACAAACACACAATCACAAATGCACAACCACACATCACGCAAGCACAACAATGTAATTGCCTGTGTGTAGCATTTTGCGTGGAAGGTGATCACTGGGTAGCACTTTCAGATGCCAACTGGAGACCCTGGCAACACCACCAAAATAACAATCCCAAACTCGAGGGCCCATAAGCAAAATTGAAAACCAAAAAAGAACAAAAACTGGCAACATGCGCCTCGCCATGGCATGGATCAATCGAAGTAGAGTATTTTCTTTACGTCGTTTTCGCTTCGTACGCATACAATGTGCTTCACCATGACATCACAAACACACACACACACATGGGGTGCGGGGGATGGGGAGTAATAACATTATGGCATGGTAGTAATAACATGTAATAACATATGTTAACGTAGCAGTAATGATTGTGGGTTTCTAGATGGTGTCAGTGAGGTTTTACAGGTTAGTTTGGGGGGTTGAGCGTCGATAAGTATCGTGCTGCAATTTTTTCGGTTCATGATATAGATACACAACTCCATGAGGCAAATGTGTTTGAGCAGCTTGGTTTGCCCTTCTTTAGTGTTGCTGTTGAGACTTTCAGAAAAAGACCCTTGGCTTTCGTTTCCGGATCACCTGAAAGAGTTCTATTTCGTGTTGATGCTACTGATATCTACTTGGATTCTTTGTTTAGGAACTTCGGTGCGCGAGCAGATCTTTGGACGTGATTGTTTGATATTGTTTGAACATTGTGTTGGACCCTGACCGTTTCTGTCTTGACCTCTCATTTTTACGACTCCTAAAGACGTGAAACATCACAGAGGTGTCGTTAGTTTCTGAGGTTGTGAAGTGCTAGTGTTGAACCGTAACTCTAAGGAGTTTTTGATAAGTGGCCCTGCGAATAATGAAGACAAGAAACCATGTATAAGAGCATTTAAAAACACACACGGCCATCTAGGGCACGTACTGGCATACCTAGTTTTAGAATAATTTTCGGAGATTGTCAACATATCCATCGAGTGTGCATCGAAACACTTGCTGGGCAAAGCCTCTGCATTTGCTCATTCCTTTTGCTGACAAGCTTCTGCCAGATCATCTCGAAGTTTTTTCAGGCGGGGCAAGTTGTCCAGGCTTGCTGCTCTCGGCGGGCAGCGATATCTTTGAGACCACATTTGCAGCTGCTCTTCTGGCGGGAGGGTATGACGTGAATGGCACTTGGTCTTGTGGTGGGAACCTTTGGATGTGCAAGGGCTAGTGGATACAAGTGCTAGGTTTTGCCTTGCCACCAAATTTATATATATATATATATGTAATCTTTGATTGACTCACTGGCTTACCCTCCCTCAGTGATGGGTTCACAAACAAGTACTGCCATAGGAAGACAGTGTGTCACTCAGTAGTTGTACCCGGTACCCGAGACAAAGTGTGACTTAGCCTTTTTGCCTTCGAGGCACCTGGCAAAGCTGCTTGCAGCGCATCGGCTGAGCGGCTAGACAAGCGATATCGCGAAGAAAAATCTGAAGATGCCTTCGAAACATTGGCAGGTCACTAGTCACTAGGCAAAGCTTCCCGCAACAATCCAACTTGATTGACTGTAATTAATTACAATGCAAAAAAGGAGGGATGACACGGTATGATATCACGTGTCCGAAAATCAATACAACCCTGCTTGCGAGACAGTACCAATACAATATATTGTACATTATACATATTACATATACTGTATTATATTGATATTGTATTCAATAGCTCCTAGCATGAAACGTGCGCGTGAAACATATTACGACAAATGTCATGGACGCACACAGTGGCACATGCTTCATGATCATGACACTTACATTACATAACCTTATTTTCGTAAGAATCCTACCAACTTTATGTTCCATGTTGTCTCCTTTGTAATTTGTTCTCAGTCGCTTCAGAGATCGTGTCAAACCAGTTGAAAAGGATGCTTTGAGCTCTTTGCGCCTGCGAGGCAGGTATGGCGTTAGTGTGCATCATACATGCACAGGTCAGAGCATAGTAGTGTAATTTGTTGAATCTGGACGAATTAAGCTTGAAACGTGTCGCCCATTCCCCATCCATTCGTGCGAGAAGTCTCTTCAGCGACTCTACAGTTCCCGCTCTGGTACTATGACTTCTCTGTCCGATAGCAGGTTTTTGTCTGTGACAACACTCGCGTCTCCAAAGTGTGTCCATCGGCTGAAACACAATGAAACATGATTCGACAATCCTTTGCTGCATTTCCCTCCATGGGCCATGGGCTCAACAAATCAATTCATCTCAATTCCATCTCACTCAGAAAGTACTTGCCTCATTCATTGCCAGGCACTGCGGCTTTTGCTGGCTCTCCT